ATTGCAAAATAAGTAAATAAGAAAAGGAGTAAAAGCTTAATTAAATCAATAAGAGACAAATGTTGGGCATTAAAGGGATAGCAAGGGGTTCAATGATCTTTATAACTAGGTAATACTAATATTATGTTTGTTTATTTCCAACTCTCGGACATACGAAAAACTAATGATCGACTAGCCCTATGGTATAGGTGAAAGTTGGCTAAAATCCTTATACTCTGTTACTCAACCTTCGTAGGCAACGACGCATATAGCAAAGCAATAAGATGAAGTTCAATTCTAGTCCATAAAAGCCTATAACTCAACTTCCATAGGTTATAACATGATACACATTTGTAAGCTAGTTCGAGTATTCTAAACAACCAAACCCTAAATATTGAGATCAAGTGTTAGTTCATGATACTAACTACAAGCATTAAGAGAAAGCTTAACTAGAAAGAATACAATATAAACGATCAAATCAAACCCTAAATATTGCCACCTAAACGATCGATCATGACCCCCATGATTAGCCCATTAAACACAACTAGAAAATTACTCTAGCATGGTTTAAGATTTAACCAAAGTTAGGTTTGATAAACTCATAAGAATAAGGTGAATATGAACTGAATAGGGTTTACAGATTACTTAGTTTCTCCTCAACAAATAAGTGATTGGACCACTAAAATAATACCTAATGGAGAGATAGTTGGAGAGGTGACAAAACCCTATACTTTTCATTACAAAACCAGTAAACCGGAAAAAGATGGATTATTTTGTGAAAGGATTTTTGGGCCTATAAAGAGTGGAATTTGCGCTTGTTGAAATTATCGAGTGATCGGAGATGAAAAAGAAGACCCAAAGTTTTGTGAACATAAAGTTGCGCTTGTGGTTTCGTTCGAGTCTCCGGTCGTCTCTGAAAGCATAAAGTTGTTGGATCAACAAGACAAGGTTGTTTCCTGTTGGACATAGAGGAAATTAAAGTAGTACCCGCGAAGCATCTAGCTCAAAATTAGGATGATGTGACAAGCTGCTGCTATTGGAAATATGGAGTTTCTGTTTCGTACAATACAAGATATTACCAAATCAAGGAAATGAAGATTTGAAAATATCTTAGATTAGTTAGCAATGTGGTGTGTTGCTACCTACTTATTGACGATCTAGACTACTCTTGGTTTAGGTCGGCCGTCTTTGTGAAATCACAAGATCTAAGCAAGAAAGCTTTTAAGGTTTTTGGTGCCTGAACATAGTTATTGATGTGTTAGCAAGTTTTGGTAGTTAGGAATTGGTCAGTGAAGAGTCGTGTAGACTGCGTATAAATCTGATTAAACAAATATGTAAGATTGTTTAAGTGATTTGATAACCGAGTGTCCTGGCCCCACCGAGGTGGTGCAGACTAGAGACCGAACCCTTACGGCACGGACGCACACCCGAGGGTGGGTCATGGCCAGGTAACGGTCTTCGGTCTCGGACGCCAGAGCAAGTCCGCATGTAAATTCCCTGGTGGCCACTAGTATGTAGCAAGGGGGAATCGAACCCGGGCGTATTGGGATTACCCCCTCAACCACGAAATCCGTCCTACCACTAGCCCACCTTGGTTTAAGTGATTTCTAATAAAGAAAAAAAAAAAAAGTTATTTTCGATTTTGCATGTGTACTAATTATTAGACTTTGTGCTGCTGTGGTTTTTTTTTGCTTTGGTTTAGTCCGGTTTTGTTCTAAATTTGTATCAGGTAATGCTCCTAAATGGACTACTCTAGTTCACCTGCTAGGTTTAAAAGAAAAAGAAATGTAATATATTATTTTACTTAATGAAAACCCTTTAAAAAGAATGGTATGCCAGACCAAAAGTAAATGATATTGTTTGAAAGTATGTGTATAAAATATATATTTTTTTATAAAAATATAAATTTCATTTAGAGAATGAAAAGTTTAGGTTTTACAAGAAACATAACCTAAAACTTTGTTCTAAAAATTCTCGTCTAGCTCCGATTAAACGGGGAGTAATCGGAGCTAGACGAGAATCCACCATGTCCGCCTCGATTAATGACTAATTCCTTAAAAAAATAGTTACCCAATTACTCTCTGCCTAATCCGATTACTTCCCGTCTAATCTGATTACTCTCCGTCTAATCTTACATACTCGATTATTTGTAGATTGCAAGTATAAAACAACTTTTAGTTTTGTTATTCAAACATTTGAATTGGGAGTTTGTGATGTTTTACAAACTTATGTTCAAATTTTAATAAAAATCATAATTTTTTTAATAAAAATCATAAAACTTTAATTTGTCTCAAAAATATATTTTTATGTGTTTACTGAAATGTTGAAAACAATATTGGATTATGTTTTAAAAATATTAAAATAACCCTAAAACTAATCTCGGATTAATCTCCGATTTTAATCCGATTTTTTCGATTAATCGCTAGGTCTATACCGAGCGCTTTGCGAGTTTTCAAACAAAGACCTAAAAACATGGTTAAATAAAAAAAAAGTTAAAACTCTTTTTTTTTTTTTTTTTTTTTTTTGTCATCCGTAATTAAATAGTGCTCAAAAGAGCCATTCTTGTGGAATGTTGTTTACATAAGTGATATGAAGCGGTTCCGTACGAACTTTTCGTGCCAGATTATCCGCTTTTACATTTGCACAACGAGAAATTAAAGATAAAGAGAAGGTAGAGAACTCTTCCTTGTCGCTCTGAAATTCCTCCAGATACACTGAGAAGGCCGGCCATTCGGTTGGGGAAGACACCATCTTCACCAGGTCAGAACAGTCTGTAAGGAATGCTACCTCTTGATTATCTGCACCAATCATACACTTCATAAAAAGTTAAAACTCATGGAAACAAAAAATTGAATTTTTTTTTTTTTTGATCGACTAAAATATAAACAATGAGATTGGGATGAAGCGAACACAATTTCGAAACTCCCTTAAGAGAAACCGAGACAGAAAACCAAAGTGGAAAAAAAGAACTAGCTAAACTATAGCTTGACGAGAAAACGAGACGGAAATGCTTTCAACGATAGCCCAAAACAAGAGAAGCGGATATAAAATAATTACAGTAAAATTAATTTGATTTAGCTGTTGATAGTTAACAAAATTATTTACCGATTTGTTCCCATTTTCAGTAATATTCTTACAAGATAGATTAGAATTAGCATTATTGGAAATTATGTGTGTGTGTTTACACGTAGGATCGGAGCACGTCATGCATGCATGCATGTGAGTATACAATGAAACCCTCTCAAAAAAAAAAAAAAAAAAAAGAAAAAAACTAATCAAGATATAACAAATTGCATGTGATTATATGAATATAGTAGTACATTGAAGAATAATTGGCAGCTCATTTTAGTTATATATACACATGTGAGCTACGTACGTAACGCTCTCATCTCCGATCACCAGTCATCAAAATTAACCTCTTATTTTATTTTAATATCATATCAAAATAACATCTTAAAATTTTGTTGAATAATCGTAAATCTTTTAGATAAAAACTTGACGCCAATTGTTTATTATAATTGGTGTATAAAATGTTGATAATCTATAGTCTATCTAGAAGATGTAAAAGGTATATCAATTCATATAAAATAATAATTAAAGTCGTTATAGAATTTTATTATTATAAAAACGAGAGTGACCACTTTTTTATTAATTTCCAGGAAAAGAGGGAGTCATGTTTGGCTGGATCTCACCTAAATCTCACATTCCCATACCTTCTTCCTCTTCTTACGCACATGATTCTCTCTTTTGTTTTACATTTATATTATTGTTTTCTTTAACTATTTTTATATGTTTATATGCGTATGAATAATTGAATATGATAAAATATGTTTCCCAAACCAATTCCTTGTCTTTTTCTGACGTCGACCAAACATTGTATAGAGACAAAACATTTTGCTTTGCCTTAAGACCATATTGATAAATGTTTTCTCGAAACTTGGATATGTCTAAATTTGTTTCAGATAATCTATAAAGCTATAGTATGATATAGAAAAATATCTATCTTATTAAAGATTAGGTAAAGTCAATTATTTATTTGGTACACAATATGGTTATAATGATAGATTCTGCCACCTACCTGCCTAAAACATGTCACATGTCTCCTCCCTTATCTTATTCTCCTTTTTATATTTCTTTATTTAGTTATCAATTTGTTTCTCTTCCAATCAGCTGCTTCTTCACATTCCTTTTCGTGTTTGCGTCTATAGTAGTAATACTACTTATATAATTAATTTAGTTGGTACCGAATTACGCTACAAATATAATAACTTAACACCTAAAAATAACTTAAAAACAGCAATAAATTTTCTTTATTAAAATTGCAATTAATATGGAGTACATAATTTGTTATTTTGGTTGAAATAAACCGCTTCTATTTTGTCAATTAAAATGATACCATATTTTGGGTTCATTAGAAATTCTGATGAAGTATCCAATAATTTAACTCATCCAAATTTATCGACAGTGAAAGTTAGAATCATTTTTTAGTTATAAACAAAAGATAAAATATAAACTAACAACTAAAATGTTAAATGAAAAAATATTTAACATAATGAACGAGATATTTGTTGAAACTTGCTAGTTGCAACTAAATGGTCCCCATTACAACCTAATTCATGTTTCTAGAAGCCTTTCCTAAAAATAACAATATCTATCTAAATCTACATGTAAAAATGGATAACGGTTGATGATCCATAAGAAAGAGTCCAAAAGGGACCAAAGCCATGTTTCACATTTCACTCCTGCTGGATTTATGCTTCTACATTTGATAAAATAAAATTAGTTTATTTTTCACTCCTAGACAGTGGTGAAATATTCTTATATATTTATATTTCCACAAAATTATTTTGGTCACCAAAAAAAATATTTATCATTTTCTTTTTCTTTTTCAAGATATATATATGAACAAAAACCAAAAGAAAATAACAAAGAAACTGAAGTAAATAATTTCTATAGTTATCCAAAAAGGATAAATATAAATGTGGCCACAAAATTAAAATAAAATTTAAAAACCCCATTTTGGGGAATTTTTGCCAAAATTATTACAACAGTGACAAACGCGCCGCCATTAGCTGATCCCGCCACGGCTTTGAATCAGCCGATGACCCGGCTCCAACAACCCGACCCGACCCGGATCCAAACCCGAGAGTTAAATCCAAATTCAGCTGTATTTTTCCTGAATTATCACTATTATAACACTCCCCATTCTGCCGGAGATCCTCATCCGTCGTCGTACCACTAGTCGAAGCTCCGTTATCGGAGTAATTTTCCGTCTTCGGTTTAACGCCTAAATTGGAAAAAGAATACTCAACGGCGTCGTTTTGAATAGGAACAACAGTCTGAAACGGCACCGTTTTGGAACCGTTAATCGGACGATGAGTTTGTGGATCAATCCCATGACTAAGAAGCTTTCTTTTAATATGAGTGTTCCAATAATTCTTGATTTCATTATCTGTTCTTCCTGGTAATCTTCCAGCTATCAATGACCATCTGCAAAAACAGAGGAATCAAATTCAAATGAATAACAAAAACAGAGGAATCAAAAAAGTGAAACACTCTGTTTTTTATTTTCTCTCTGTTTCCAAGAAAGTTCAAATCTTTTTCCCGGGAAAGTTGAAACAAGAAGAGAGGTGAGGAAAAAAAAGTGACCCAGTTTCTATTTTCTCTCTGTTTCCTAGAAAGTTCGATTTTTTCTCGGAAAAGTTAAACGAAGAAGAGAAGTACTCTGTTTCTTACTTGTTGCCGAGTAAGCTATGGAGTTTGATGATGATTTGATCTTCTTCATCAGTAAAATTACCACGTTTAAGATCAGGACGAAGGTAATTAATCCATCTCAATCTACAACTTTTACCACAACGTAACAAACCAGCGGATTTAGGAAGAGAACGCCAACAACCTTCACCGTGATTACGAATATAATCGACGAGACGTTGATCTTCTTCTTTAGTCCAAGCTCCTTTGTTTGTGTGAGCTTTTTCACAACAAGGAGATCTTCCCATGGTGAATGAAGAAGATGGTGTAAGAGAAGAGAGAAGAGATCAAAAGATGTGAGGAGAGTTATGGGTTATATAAAAAGGAGGTGACTTTGACTAAGTTTGGTACATATACATGTGACTATGTGGAGATAAAGTGAGGCTGTGCTTTGCTGTGTTGTGTGTGGGGAATGGAGATTAGGTAGGTAAGTAAGTAACCTTCTTTTCCTTTTTCTTGTCTCCTTACTTTTTCTCCTTAGATTTTGCTTTTTGGTTTTTTTCTTTCTTCTCTCTTTTGATCTTATAGTTAGTTGGGAGTGGAGACAAATACAAAGCAAAAACCAATATATATATATATATATATATATATATATATATATATATATATCTATCTTAAAGGCCCAAAAATTATATATAAAATTTGTTATTTGTTTTCCTATATTAAAATAATTAAATTTGAAATAAACGACGTCGTTTGAAGGAGTTCCAAATCGTTTAAGAGCATCTCCAACTCCACTATATTTTTTCTTCTAAAACTCTATTATAGAGTACATTTTCTCCAACCCTACTCTATATATTATTCTAAAATAGAGTAAATGATATAATTGCTCTATATATAGAGTAAGTCTTTTTTTTTTTTGCACTAACATATAGAATGCTACGTTGGAGAGAAATTATGCTCTATTTTAGAGTAAAAAATAGAGATTTACATTGGAGATGGTCTAAGTAAATTGTTTAGTTTTTTTTTTTTTTTAATGTGAAGATTTCATTCCAAGAAAAAATTACATACTAGACTAGTGTTTACAAAAGCTAACCCATTATCACATTTGTTGATTAAGAAAATCACTCAATGAATTTGTTTAAAGGGGGAAAACAAATTCGATTAACTCTCTTGCTATTTCTGACCAAAGACTCGATTAAAAGATGAATTTTGTTTCTTAGAGACAAAGTAAGGGTTTTGCTCAAGAACAATCAAGAAAATTAGAGTTTTCGTATAAAAATTGCCGATCCCTTGAATAGAAGACAAACCCCTCTATTTATACATTGTCGAGGCGGTTTAGAGATATGTTAAACTTCTAATTTTTCAGAGCCTAAATCTTCTGCCTTTCCTTTATCTTCGCGATCGTCCTTTTCTCAAATAAGGAAGTCGGTTAGGCGATCTCCCTTCTTTAAGTTGAGATCGCCAGGCGACTTTCTTTCTTTAGCCCATTAACAGGCTAAACCGAGATACCCCGGTTTAACTGGAATCTCAGTTTTATTCGTAATTTCTCCAGTATAAGCCGGTATTGTTGGAAGTGCTAATTTCTGCACCAACAACATTAACAAAAGACAGACAAAGAAAATAATTGCAACGGAAAAGAAAACGACTAAAATAAAAACAAGGAGGAGAGAAGAGGAATGTAAGCTACGTCCATGAAAGGTCGTTTGAAAGAGTTCAGAATCGTTTAAGTAAATTGTTTAGTTGTTTCTCGTGGTTCTTTAGTTAGCAAGTTGTCATATTTGATTAACGATATCTATGTAAATATAAGTTTACGATCATGTTTTTGTTGTTCATGTAGAAAACTAAAATTGTACTTTAGTTCATATAATTTTTTGCATAACACCTTAATTTGTGTATATAAAATTATGAAACCGTAGTTGATGGCGCAATCGATAGTTTTTGTAATTTCGTTGATAATATATTTCACTAATATGAACATGTTTTCTGAAAATATTGGTACATAGTGACTTTGTAAGAAAATCTTCAATATTATCAGACGACCGGACATTTTTCACTTCAAATTCTTTGTTCTTCTAAAATTCTTGGGTATATAAATATTGGTTTATGCGTTGTACCATTCATGTCCTATATTTATGTACCCTCTTGTAAACAATGATGCTGAACATATGCAGTAATAAAGTTATTGGCTGGCAAAAAAAAAAATATATTGGTTTAGAAGGATATGTTTGGTTCTGTCTTAATTGATATATTCTTCCATGATCATCTGGGTAACACTTGCAGTATTGTCTTCATATAAAATCCTTGGTTCTATATTGATTTGGATTCTACTACTTTGATTGAATGTGTTGTTGAATTGATCTAAACCATGATTTGGATTCTACTACTTTGACTGAATGTGTTGATTAATTGATTATGGAGAGCGGTGAATTTAACATGATTTGAAGCAGTTGTCATAAGATATGCATCTTATGGTAAGTTTTTTTAGACTTTTCCGGTTCTTGGGGTTTTCGTATTGCTGCTACGGGGCCACATAACTTCATACAGTCATCAGTTGCACCCTAACTTTATACAAAACTGATGACAAACCACTGAGCTAGCTATCTTCTAATTAAGCCTCTTTATACGGCTTCCACATTGAGATCATCAACAACTACCAATGTTATGGCCTATGAATCCAAATGTCCACCAAAAGAAGTGGAGAAGAATCATCCTTCCTTCGACAGAAGACAAATATTTTTTTGCTAAGAATGTTAATATTTCATATAATGAAAAATTTTACGAGTTACATGAAATAGATCCTATAGTATGGTCCGATGGCAAAAAAGGATAAAAATATACGGAAGCAAAATCAATCAGTCCATTGACATCAACAAAAGCAGTGACGCTTTCGGAATCAATGAAGCGATAAAACGATCCTGAAGTTTTCTAAATGATGACACCTCAAGGGAGAAGCATCATGTTGTCAAACGGCGAAGATCGAATCAAAGATAACTAAAACGAAAGGAAGCCTTTCACTGGTGGCCCAAGAACCTGAGCCGTCAACAACGTTGAAACAAGGAGCAAAACAAACAGCGACTCCACCCGTGTCACGTGCGAGCTACTCTTTGAACTAACCATGATCTTTCTCAAGGCGGAACCACACGAACCTAAGGAAACGAGAAGCGCAAGCTCACTCTACCAAGCTCTTTCCCCGAGCACGGCTAGCACAGAGCAAAATCCAACGAAACACAAAACGCGTAACATCCCAAGGTCTTACTAGCTCCTCCAAACATGAAGTTAACTAATCCACAAACCAAAGCACAAGCAAACACAAGATCAACTCCAAAACGACGCAGCAAACAAAAGAACACAACGAGATCAATAGGCAATACAACAACAAAGTGGCTTGGACATAAATCGGAGAAGCATGATTTCGAAGTAAACCGAGAGCAGGTTCGATGGAGCACGAGAAAGGAGAAGACTCCTATGCATCTTAGCCGTAACAAAGCCACACGCTTGATCAAAAGAGACCAGACGCTCGCAGCTCCAAACACACACACCCACATGAAGACAAATATGCATATATAGAAAAAGATTTTGTTTGTTGTCTAGACAAATATGCATATTCTATTTGATTGTCATATTATTGTGTATGGTTTTGCTATAAGAAAATTAGGTCTACATACTCAGTTCGTTTCTTGTTTAATGTTCTTCATGAATTCAGGAACATAGGTGTATGAATTGGCTATATCATGAAGGGTGAAGAAAACTAATCCAACAGTAGCAGGACTAAGTCAAAGGGACTAATAAAACCCTTTCGTTAATAGTGTCACTACTCTGTTTCCCATAGTAAAGGGTAGGCCTGGGCAAAAAACCCGGACCCGATACCCGGACCGATACCCGGACCGAAAAAATCGGGTTGGGGCGGGTTAGGGTATTAGAAAATTACCTCATTGGGTAGAGTATTGGATTACCCGTGGGTATCGGGTCGGGTCGGGGATTACCCGTTACCCATTTAGGGTACCCACAAACCCGAAGAAATACACATGTTTATATATGTATATAGATAATTAGATATATAGTCTTATATAGTTATATACTTATATGTATGTCCTAGGTTTTAGGTTTTGTGACTTTTGACGTTTGAGTTTATATATGTATATAGATAATTAGATATATAGTCTTATATAGTTATATACTTATATATATACTTATATATATGCAATACACATATGTTTATATATGTATATAGATAATTAGAATCTACTATTAACACTTAAGAGTGAAATAGTCATCTTTGTTATTTTGGATTGGATTTAGTATTTAAATGTCATGTTTGATGTTCTATTCTCTTTATTTGATCATTTGAGTATGTAAAGTGATTTTAAACTTCGGGTATTACCCAAACCGACCTGAACCCGACAATACCCGAACCGGACCGGAACCGAAACCATAGGAATACCCGAATGGACCATAAATTCATTACCCATTCAACCCGAACCCGAACGGGTTTTACCCGTACCCGAACGGGTTACCCATATATATGCCCAGGCCTAGTAAAGGGAGTTGGAAACCATAAAATCAAAAAAATTACCATTTAAGTTTCTTTTAAAACTAAAGTCTACACCAGAAACCAAAGCTCCAACATCAAAAATCTCATAAAGGAAAACTTAAAACGTAACATAGTTCTTTAAAGTTTGCCATACACCCACCATCATCACCGGAAAACCGGAAAGTTTTCCTGGGAGAGGTAACATTGATTCCAAGAAATTTGGTCACCAAAATGTGGCTGCTGGTCCATACACGTCAAGTTGGATCCATGGACATTTTCCACATCTCCCAGAGTCATGTCATGGATACTCGAGCGTTTCCCATCCGTAATCCCCCGTTTTCGCCTATTGAAATACTTCTGAGCATGGCTTGCTACTTGCGTCGAGCTCCTTGACTTCACACAATACCTCGATATGTTCTTCCAGTCTCCTTTCCCAAACTTATTTAGTCCTTCCAGAAACAACCTGAAAATATCATTAAATCAACCAAAAGTCCAAAGTTAAGATCACATTTAAATTAATTAATAATCATATATATTTAACAATTACGTGATATATACGTTTCCTCCTAGCCCTAACCAACAAAACCCTAATTCATCAACCCTAGCAAGATTTAAAACTGTTAAATTTGGACTTTAATTCCACAATCCAAAGAAATCCTTATTCATAACTATCTTTGACTAACCTGTGTTCATTTTGTGACCATGGAGTTCCATTCTTTTTCCCAGTGCCCTTGTTTCTGGACCGACTTGCTTCCGTCAGTGTCAAGTAATCGTCGTCCGGGTATTTGGGCAACACAAACTTACCCGATTCGATCAGATCAACATCGTGGACCAACGTGCCGTAGTAGTAATTCACCTCCTCCACTGTTTTCTTCAGAATATGAGCGATATTCTCTAAAAAATACGGCGAACCCTCCGGGAATATAACCAGAGCTGACTCAAAATCCTTGTCATCGACCCTCGTCCACCGCGGAACCGCGGCCATAGTATCCATAGAAAAAGAGAGAAACCTCGAGATCGCAAAAGATAAGGAATTTGATAGAAGCAACAAAACAATTTGTTGAAGGAAATTTTAAGGAATCTGATTGAGGGTTTTTTTTGGTTCCTGTCAGATTTTATAGTGAGAAATAATTGGGAAAATCACAAAATTAACCCACGTCTTTGCTTTATTTAACAAAAGAAACCCGTATTTTTATTTTAGTCTTAATCCCAATATAATACTAATATCTAACTTAATAGCTCTCTCGTTCTTTTAAACGTCTTTGTTCGACTCTTTATCACTGAAGACAGAAGATTAAATTTCAAAGAAAAATGGGTAAAAAACTCCTCACCTTTTACAAAAATATAAAAACCTTTAATTTTATTTGTGGGTTTTTAAACCCTCATCTTTACATAAATGGTAAAATAAACCCTAATATTAATAACTAATTTTTATAAACTAATTGTTATATGAAAACATAAATAAATATAAACAATTTAATTTAAGATTGTTTCTTCTAAAATTCTAGTTTACAATTTTTTTCTAAATGAAATTTTTTTTAAGGCATGATGTAAAAAAGTTAATTAATGAAGTTTTATTTGGTTGTGTTACAAAAGTTCATCACGTGAACCAAACAAATTTTGTTACGAGTGATATATAAACTCTTATACCGATCCGAATATGAGTTTATGTTAATAAAAGTTTATTCGGTTCAATCACACAAATTTACTAACGTGAAACCAAACCAAATTTTATAACACTACGTAAAGTATATGGACTTCCACATCAAAATATTTTCATCGGACCAAATAAACTAAATAAACATTTATTAACAGTTGATATATATATATATATATATATTTATATAAATTACGATATATTAAAAATATAATAGAAATTATAAATAATTAATTATTATTTAACTATATTTTTATCCAAAATTGAACCTCCAACTGAATTTGAATTTTGTTATAATTTTGACTATTCCCTAATGAAAAACTCAAACAAACAAAAAAAATCAAATGTGTTATCCTATAAGTTTTTGTACTTCTAATAGTAACAAAAGGTGATTTGCTTAATCTCACCTAAATAGTGAATGAATTTTTGTATCGTAAAAACCTTAAATTTAAAAAAAAAATCGCAAATTTGAATTTGAAAAAAATAAATTGGTTTTGTTTGATGCTGTTTCAATATAACAATTTGTTTAAACTAAATTTGAATTTATTAGTAATAGGGTTTATTTACCATTTGTGAAAAAGCGAGGGTTTAAAAACCCACAAAAAAGGTTGAGGGTTTTTTATATGTTTTAAGGAAAAATGAGGGTTTTTCTACCAAGTTTTCCAATTTTCAGTACAAAAAAGAGTTCAAAATATAACCTCCTACAAAAATTTAGGTCTTATTAATTATGCTTCAATATAATTAAATACAATTTTTTAAAGTTCAAAGTTAATAAATGATAATTATAATTTTTTTGCCAAAAATTTTGAAGTGCTTGAAGGGAATTTAATTACATTATCTTACACTTACATGAAGCATTGTTGATCATTTGGGAACTAGAAAGTGACATCTTTAGGTGCCATTATCAGTTTCTGTTTGATTTAGTTTTTCAATTGAACCAATATTCTAATGGTAATAGTTGCATTTCCACAGTAAAATATTTGGTGCAAATTAAGAAAAAGTAGTGGTATCTAATTGTATTATACCATCTTGAAGAAAAATAGAAAATGTTATATTTCTTAGGAATTCACGAAAATACTTCAAAATGCAAATTGCATTGAAAAAATTTAATCAACAATAAGTTCATTTTTACAACACATCATAATTTATAAACATAAAAGTTAATATTTAAAAAAAAATTCAAGAACTATATTAATAATCGTACGCATACTTTTGTATAATTTAATACAAACTCATTTTTATTCAAAATTAATGTTAAATATATAACCCACTCATGGGCAACTTTCTAGTATAATATCTAATAATACGTCAAAATTATACATTAAAATGGTTAAATGAATTATGAAAACCGAATGACACAAAATTAATTTTAACCGAAAAAACACAAAAAATTTATGGAATATGTCTCAAAATATCTAATTAATCTAAATACTGCCAGTATCCTGTTTGGTATCTCTTATTTCATGATAAATGTCTTTTGAAATAGTTATACACTAGTAATGAAAATGTTTCAACATATGAAAATACCATTTTCTAGAACATTGATCTACATTAATATGAAGAAAAAAAATCTTATTCCAACAGTACGTTCTATATAATTATCATATGAAGGCTGACATAATGCCATTAAAATATGTAGTAATACATAAAGGAAAGCAACTCATAGTGAAACAAAACCTTTAATCGAAGGATAAGTGAATTCTAAACGAATATATTAGCTTCACAAACTTTATTTCATTTCTGTCTTAACGATCTATCTTCACTTTGCTCATAAATGTCTTCGGACACGCCCTAGGCAGTCTAAATAGCAAACATATATATCTGAGGTTCCAGGAATCTTCAAGGCGATAGGGTACATGCAATGCGACTCACAGCCCCTGCAAAATGGACGAGATATACTTTTATTGAGCACCACTTCATATGATGTGCTACCATACTTTATTGTGTGTCTTGGCATGAGCCCTGCAAAGTCTCCTAGCACGCACTTTGTATGCAAACTAGCTCGGTGATCTTTACATGTGTAGAAAAATCTCTTTGGATCTGTTTGTTTCTCGCAAATGTCACACCAATATTTGCCACTTGCCTTTTCGCCATAACATAGTGAGAGAGGATGATCGTCTACTCTATGCTTTACCACTTGTGGTAATGTGGCGCAATGGAAGCATAAGACAAATTCACAACCACTTTCGATGCACGTAAGCACAGCGAGGCGGTTTTTGGAGCAGCCCTTGCATTTTTTTTTGCCTACTCGTGGAATGTAATATAAGGGATGATTGGGGTGGCTTGGATGGACAAACGGCTCAGAAATTGAACCGCACAGAACATCTAACTTCATACTTCCGCACTGGTACATGTAACCGTTGGACATTCTATGACAAGCTGCACAGCAAAAGTAATTGGCCACGCTTGTAACTAATGTAAGTCGGTCATTGTGTAGTACATGCCATTTCTTTTTAGGAGATTCAGCGCAACTTTTGTGAAGAATGAAATCACAATCAACACATCCATAGAAGGATTGGAGACAAATGGGATGGGTGCAAGCACTGCACCGCTTATTTTCTTCCCAAAGAAAACCATTAACGTGGAATCTTAGGTAATGCTCTTTGTGGCTGAAATGTTGTATCGTGTTTTCATCTATTACCACATATGGCTCAATATCTTCTGTCTCTTCAGGTATTCCTTCGAGCTCTTTCCCGTTCCACACATCCTTTCTAGTAGCACATTTGGAATGAACGACATAGCCGGGACACGCAAACAAGAATACCCGCCCCAAGTCCAATCCACCTTCTGGCGACAAACTCCACATATAGAATTCACAACACCAAGAACAGAAGTGCGTGAAACACGGTGATCATGCCGATTGATGTTTATGAGGCGTGGAAGGGCAAGACACTCTTGATGTAACATGAAATCACAATGAACACATATGTAAGGGCTTCGATCTCCACTCAACCCGCAAGCATTACATGTAAAAGAATCAAGTCTTGGGCGAAAGATAAGTTGGTGAGCATGAACTTTCAAATCCAGAACAAACTGTGGTGGTGGTTTTAAAACGCAACGCATATCCAAACTGAAGTTACAAGCAGAACAATGATAAAACAATCTATCTTCAATCTTTCTTTCGCAAAGACGACATTTTCCATCAGAATAGTCTGGTGGTTGACCTTTGTGGAGCTTAAGAGGGTGTAAAGGGTGGTAAGAGTGATTTACCTCTGACGGGTGTTTTGCCTCCAACGGATTCCATACGCAATCCACATGGAAGGATAAACCACATTCATGACATTGGTAAGGAAACCCATACCCATCCTCTCCACATTTTGCGTAGCAATCGAACTGGATCTCCTCTTTGAGAAGGGTAAGCTTGTGGTGATGCGTCTCGGAAACATCAATAACCTCTGGTGGTGGGTACTTTGCACAGTATAGATCCATGTCGAAGTCACAGAAATCACTACGATAAAATAGATGGGTGATATCCTTGCGACATAAATCGCAGTAATTATCATGGCTATTACTTCGAAGCTGAAGAGAGTAAACAGAGTCAAATGGGTGTTTGATAAATTCGGAGGACTGGCCACATTCCCTGTGAACAAAGAAGTCACATCTTTTGCAGTAATAGCCATCACTGATGGCTTCGAAGCGTCCACAACAATCACCTTTCCGCAGATCATTCCAAGACTTCATAGGATGCTCGTGGATCAACGGTAGTGACCATTCATAAGATTACATGTCCATATACTACAAGATTGAGAAGAAGAAGAAGAACAAGAAGAACAAGAAGAAGAACAAGAAGAAGAGTTGAATCTGAGATCTCAAAGAAAAACAATTTAAAAGTCTCATAATCAAAGTCTCAGTTTAATAAATTAATAATAGAACATGGAAAAACGTTCCATTGACAATTTATATATGCCCCCATAATCAAAGTCTCAGTTTAGTGGTCACCGTTTATGACGCAGACCAGCAAATTGTTAAATCCCTAGTTGACAAAAAAAAAAAAATAAAGAATCCCTCAAGCAACCACTTTGATGACCTTGTCCTCATTGCACAGAGACCAGTAGATTCCACTTTTATAATTGTTATAACATGTTCACTATGTACCAGTTTTTACATTAGCTAATTACGTGTATGTGTTGGTTAAGTTCTGAGTTTTGCATTTGTTGAATCACTCTTGTTGGTGTCAATCAGTATACATTTCCACGTTCACAGTTAGATTACACTGTAACAGTTGGTCTAACAGTGCTTATTCGTGTTTCATAGTTGAGAACTAGATAAAAAACAATAGAAACTTGATAGATCCTAACCCTAATTAGTCGAAAACCATGATACCTTGAGAAACCCTAAAATGTTTAACGTCTTAATAGTATTGCTTACAGTCTCTTTCATTTACTTAATTCATTGCTTAGTCATTATGAAACCCAAAACAAAAAACTCCAAGTTTAGTTTTGTCTTACCAGATCCTTTTTTTTTGATTTAATCTCTATATCTATCACTCTCTGTGGGATCGATCCTTATATACTAGTGCTGATTATTGTGCACTTGCAGTTAACGTGTGGTCTTTAAGATAAAACTTTGAGGCAAAATTAATCGCACATCAACCGGCGATGTTACCTGAATGGGTGCAGTCAACGGTGCCAGCAGAGACAATGATTTCACCCTCCGTTGGGGGATTGGGTATAGGAGAATCGATGTTACGAGAAAGAGAACTCATGATGAATCAAAGATTGCTTCTTTTTTTTTTTTTTTTTTTTTGTAAACCAATCAAAGATTGCTTCTTAAAAACGAAAAATCGAACAAAAGGATTCAAAGGTCGGAAAAATTTCAGAACAAGAAGAAAAGCAAAAACGAAAGTATTTTTGGACAAAGAGTAAAGCAATAAGGTTATTGAGAAGGCGGGAGAAGAAATTACCTTTTAATTAACCAGTGAAGAAGAAAACCGTCTTGGAAGTAGTGTGGAAGTAGGACAGTTTTCCCCCGTTTTAATAATAAAGTAATGGAATCAAAAGATTTAATACAACAGATGTCAAGATAGCTAATCATGGCAATTCCGAAACCCGAGGAACGTGACAGAGTAAATTACGGAATCAAAGATCGTGTCAGCAATTTTCGAGATTAAATATTTAACTTCTCCGAACTGGAGCAGCAACTCGAAAGATTTGGAGGGCTAATTGTTGGTGTCGGATCCCAAACTCTCAGTTCGGATCCTACCCAAAGATTGCCACGTGGATGGTGAGTCAACCTAACAAGAGTCAATAGAAAAATACCTGAGCAGATATCCCGAACCAGCGATAAACGAACTGAAAAGCTCGGAGATTATGACGAGGTGAAGGACGATTTCGAGCCCAAGCGGTGGGCCGAACACTTGAAGACCCAACAAGGGGTTGAATGGATTTAAAATGAGGACGTTGCAACATTTATGAGAAAATAAAAACGGACACAATTATTGAAAATTATTACATTAATTAGACAATTAATGTAAATCATTGTGTATAAATATGAGACCTCGTATACCAAAGTGGGTACATCGAAATCTCGATATACTATCAATACTATAATATTTTCTCTCTATATTTTGCATACATTTTTATACTAATTCACATATGTTTTTTCGTCTTGTACTTTTGATCTAGAGAGATTAAATCCACGAATAAATAAATATTTCAGTTTGTGAATCCAACATCCACATATGATTTACTAAAAATAGACCCAAAACCTGCATTCTCGAGGTAAGATTATACTTAAATCCTTTAAAATTAAACCCAAATCCATAATACATAATTTAGGCCATGTAAACCTTTTAAAATTTGGGCTTATAATTATAGAAAAGCTGCTTGAGAAATATTAGAAATTTTTTTTTTTTTTTTTTTTGTATAATTTTGACCCCAACAAAAATTTGTTCTACCTCCCCCACTAATATATAGTGTACTTGTTTATACAAAGGCACACATTTGTTGTAAAATATACCATACATATTTGAACTCCTCTTCCAAAGAAGGAAATCATTTCTCTCTAAATTATTTGATCCTCTTATTGTCTCTCCCCCTCAAAGTTTTGTATTTTATATCTTTACGCTTCATACATGTTTACAAAATACATTTTTTTTGTTGATCTGTCTTTATTTTAATTTTTTTGTTCCTATGGACACTAGATACAAGATATAGGACAATAAAGATATAAAGAAAATCCAGACCACACATATCATGAGGTTGTGGAACAAGTTTCTGCGGTAACAGAAACCAAAAACATGAAGGGAAAAAAAAAAGAACAAACTATCTTCAACACAGAGCCATGGCTTCAGCAACTTCTACCTATGCTCGAACGTCCTGCATTATCCTTCCCAAAATCCAAAACAGCACGCATTTCAGGGACGATACGAGAGCATTTAGAAGGATAACGGCAAGAAGAGTGACGCGTATATACGCGTCACAAGGCCCGACAAAACCGCCAAAACCATCGCCAGGAGTAGACACAAGAATCCACTGGGAAAGCCCGGACGAAGGCTGGATTGGAGGAGGATCCGACCCGACCAAATCCGTTGATGAGGACAAAACTAATCTCCTTAGTGATGAAAAATTTGCAGAACTAATCAAAGACTCTTTTGATTCTCATTACCAGTGAGCAAAAACAAAGATTTTCTCATTACATATCTTTTATTTTTTCATAATTTGTAACTGTAATTAAGAATTTGCAGATTCTTAGGTGTTTCAACGGATGCTGATCTAGAAGAGATAAAATCCGCGTACCGGAGATTATCAAAAGAGTATCATCCAGACACAACTTCATTACCACTTAAAACAGCTTCAGACAAGTTCATGAAACTAAGAGAAGTGTACAATGTTTTGAGCGATGAAGAGACTCGGAGGTTCTATGACTGGACATTGGCTCAAGAAGTCGCGAGTCGTCAAGCTGAGAAGATGAGAATGAAGCTTGAGGATCCGAAAGAGCAAGAGTTTAGGGGCTATGAATCAATACCTGATATGGTTGACCGGTTAGGTGGAAGAAACATGGAGCTAAGTGATCAAGCCATGACTGCTCTCACGTTCGATATTTTGATCATATTATTCGCGGTTTGTTGTATAGTGTTTGTGCTTGTTTTCAAAGATCCTTCTTACTAGGTAAGGAGCTGGGTATATACAAAGAATATGGAAGATTAACAATTACACGTTATAGCATAAACTGAATTAAACAAGTGGTCTAGTGGTTCTGTTGCATCAGCTTCATTTTGGACACACCAACAAAGATTTTAAAAGATCAAATGTCAAAATGGAGTAGCTTAAACTTTCAAGAACATGTGTAGAAGTTTTAATGTTTTTTGAGTTTTTTTTTTCTTTCTTTTTTCTGCTAAACTATCTAACTTTGTTTTATAGTTCATCTTGCTAATTCAAATAGTCATATACTTCACTTCAGCATGTACATAATAGATAAACAATTGGAAGAAACTAGTCATTTTCGATAACCAATGCCAAATTCACTAGTTTTTGGGAACACAAGCTTTCAAGTTTTATGTGTAGAAGTTAACTTAATCCTTCTTAGACGTGTTCGATGAGCATTACGCTTTTAGCGAGTGGAGAGGTAGGGATAATTAAGGGTGTAAAATATGCATTATGATCAGTCAATTGACTAAGGAACTACCCCATGATCAAACCTACACACAATTGGTTAAACTTGTACTTGACTTTGGGAAAGTACTTGTTCTATTGATGAATGAAGTACAAATAAAATCTATCTCAACTAGTAATTGGACATTGCAAATAGAGTCTGGCCTTGTCAACTAACAATAATTAATAATTTAAATTGCTAATAATTCTAGTTGTTGGCCGAACTCTTCTTCGCCTTTTGTAGTTGCTCGTCTCTCATTCTAGCCAGCATGATCACGTCCTTTACGGATTGAGGGCGAAACATCCGAATACTATCTGAAATTGATGTGTGAAGACCTCCCATGAATGTTCCCACCAAGGCTTTTTGTGTCCAACCGTTGACCTTACTTAAAAGACGTTCAAACTCTAGTAGATAGTCTTCGAGGCTACCCGTTTGTTTAATCTTGCATAAAGCTTCATCGAAATCTTCGGTTGAACCAAATCGAACCAGCATCTCTCCTTCAAATACATTCCAAGTAATAACCGTATTATCTTCCTTAATTGTCTTGGTCATTGCTAGCCACCACTGGTATGCTTCGTCTTCGAGATGGTAAGATGCAAGTTGCACGCGATGATGATCCTCCGGTATATCTTGATACGCAAAAAACTGATTCGCCTTACTCAACCAAGTTGTTGGATCTCCTGTTGAGAATTTAGGAAACTCCAAGTTTGTGAACTTTGTTTGGAACATGGCTTGTGTTGTCATAGTCTCAATGAGCTGTTTTAGCGAGGCTTCAATGTGAGCAACTTTTTCATTGAATCAAACATGCATCTTCACGAGCTCCTCTTGAACATTGGCTAAGAGAACTTTGAGTAGAGCAAGTCTGTCTTTGTTACTCGCAACCATTCTATGAGTTTGTGCACTGGTACCAAATTGAAACAAGGATGAAAATTTGATAAAAACAATAGTTAATTTGTAGAGAAATTTTGTTCTTATTATTTTTCTTTTTGGTCATTAAATAGGAGATACAACGTGGAAGTGAATATGGGAATATGGGAATATGGATTCCTACAAAATAGGCGATTGTGCAAAGTGGTTCCTACTATTTTTAACGACAATAGTATGATGAGAAACAAGAAAAACACGATATCTATTGTTCTTGATTGGGCTCAGACCTCTTTTAAATATGGATATCTAATGAGGTAGTAAAACACGATATACCGAGCCATATTATTCATAATCAAATATACTGATTGATTGTAAAAGTAAATTAAGCTTATAACTTAGAAGAAAAATAGAGTAAAAAGATAGAAATTTTTTGATAACACAATGTTTATTATAGACATTTCAAAAATACCACAAACACGGATTGATAAACTTTCGATAGAACTTTTTATATCAAAATATTTATAAAGTTTTATAATACATACTATTAAAATACAACGATTACGTGAATTATTGCCCTTACGTAGTGAGAGTTGGAATACTAGTAATGAAAATAATTTGCGTTCGAAAAAAAAAAATAGCCCTGAAGTGGATTCTGTATTTTAGTACTCTACGGCTTTGAATGGATGTTGTGGACAAATCGGACTTAACCGTTAGCGGATTAGACCACTTTATTTTTGGAGTGGACAACAAACTACCGTGAACCAAGTTTATTTCTACGCAGTGGCGGATCTAGAGATATATTTAGCCTGGGGCACCATTTGGTTGTTTTAGTTTTATCAAAAATATTACATATATTACTTGTTATCAAAATATAAAATTTGTGATAAAACATAAAAAAAATATTTTAGATATATCAATACACATATAATATCTTAATCAGTAAATGAATAAAAATCAAAATAAATTTAAATTTGACAGCTAAATAAGGAAGTTGGAGCTAAGTGTTTAATTAAATTAATGTTTGTAGTGGAAAAGAAAAAGATAAAGTCAAAAAAATAATGGCAATTGCCTAAACTCGAACCTAGGCATGGGGCAAAGCTGAGAGCACTCAACCAATAGTGCTGAATAATTATAATTGAACATTCATACAAATTAAAATTTATAAAAGCGGTACGTAAATAGTCCGCCGCAGACTTGTTCTATTTTTTTCAATCCACAATCTACGGATTATAGTTTATGAATGGTAAATAAAAAGTGGTCTGAATCGCAAACGGATTTTTCCGCCCTAACCGCAACAACTATACGAACCCTACATGTCACATGTGATTGGAAAATTTTCAATCTATTAAAAACGGGTCAGATTAAGATGTATGACTCGCTTTAAGATCTCAGTAAGTGAAGAAAACAAGTTCAAAGAAACCAAATAAACACTAACTAGTATAGTAGTATTAGACTAGTATTGTCGTATAAATTTTGTTTAATAGTGTTATATACGAGAAACTCGAATCCAAGCTTTGTTTGTAAAATTAAAGATCTATGATATTTCAAGAGTTTTTTTTCGCTAAAATCCATCAAAAATTGAATAACGTATTTTTTTTGGTTAGTGTGTACTTTTTTCTGGTTAAGTTGTTGCGGATAAACCGATGGTAACTGAAAATCGAAATCAATATTGTTTATATGGTTTAAATTGATTTAATTTTCTAAATCCGAGAAATCGATCCAAATTCAAATCGAACCGAAAAAAAAACTCGGTTTTAAATTGAAACTGAAATTCAAATCGATATCTTTGACAAAAAAATTTCAAACCCTCCATAAAATTTGGATACCATTTCATTACTCATTACCGAACCGAACCGAATAAATCGAATCAAAACCGAACGGAAATCTAGATTGGAACATATAAAACATGTCTTTGTATGACATTTGAAAAAAACAAAACAATTTTGATTCTATAATCACGAATCAGAAATTTCTAGGGTTTCCATATCTTCTCTGCGATTTGAATGAACAACTCCAACTTCATTCACAAATTTCGTCACTCTTCAAAACCATATACAATGGAAGAAGAAGAAGAATCACCGACGGAGCTAAACACGATCAATGGTTTAAGCAGTTTTGTAGTAATCTCTCCCGATAAGCTATCTCTCAAATACACTGGCGTTTCTCAACACGGTCACGATGTCGGCGTTGTTCAAGCTAATAAACCTGCTCCGTGTAATCGTATCGCTTATTACTTCGAGATTTATGTCAAAGATGCTGGTGTTAAAGGACGTGTCTCTATTGGTTTCACTACTGATAGTTTCAGAATTGCGAGACATCCTGGGTAATTGTTTGATTATGCTTTGATTAGGTTCAGCAAAATCTCTAATTTGGTTCAATTGTGTGAGTTTGGTTTAGATTTGATTAGGTTCTGAAAAAATCTCTAATTTGGTTTAATTGTTGTGAGTTTTGTTTAGGTTTGATTAGGTTTAGGACTATATGTTATTTGGTTTCAATTGTTGTGAGTTCTATTTTGATTTGATTAGGTTTAGGAATATCTGGAATTTAATCATATGTATATGCTCTGTTTTATGATCATATGAATCACTAAATCGGATAAATTCAGAATTGCGAGACAGCCTCGGTATTGTTGATTTTTCGTTTCCGATTTTGCGTTTAGATTATCGTGTAGACTCGATTCTTTGATGAAGTAATTATGCTTTGATTAGGTTCAAGCCAATCTGGAATTTGGTTCAATTGTGTTTGTTCTATATAGACTTGATTAGGTTGAGAAAAATCGGAAATTTGGTTTGATTGTGTGAGTTCTGTTTAGGTTTGACTAGGTTCAGGACAATCTGAAATTTTGGAATTTGTTAAGCAAGAAGCTATCATCTATATCATTGTTGCTGAGCATTCAAATTGTGGCTATTTCTTCTGTAATGGCTAGATGGGAACTCAACACTTGTGGTTATCATGGTGATGATGGGCTTATATATCTTGGAAAACGTCAAGGTGAAGCTTTTGGTCCGACTTATACAACCGGTGATACAGTTGGTGGTGGTATAAACTATGATTCGCAGGAATTCTTTTTCACGTAAGTCATAATTGTTTTTGATGTCAATTGAAAATAGAGATCAAGATCCAATTCCTTTTCAAGTTGCAATTCTGACATATACTCGTTTACGAGCTGCTAGCGTAAATGGAACTTTGGTAGGGACAGTCTCGAAGTACATCAAGGGTCCTCTATTCCCTACTGTAGCTGTACATAGCCAAAACGAGGAGTATGCTCTTATTTTTTTTTCTTTGTTTCTTAATATCGATGTCAGCGTGAATTATTTAAAATGCTTGAATGTGTTCTTTGAATAATGTGCCGAATCTTGGTAGGGTTACCGTCAACTTTGGGCAGGAGAAGTTTGCTTTTGATTTTAAGGTAAGATCCTCTTGCATTTGAGTGGAGCTACCAGCTCTTAGTTTGAGTTATTTGAATATAGGATATTCCGAAGTACTACCGAATAGTAAAGAAACATATGCATCTTTTCGATATGGTACAAACATATAATGTGGCATTTGGCAGGTGAATCTCTGTAAAATATTTCGTCCATGTTTGTATGTTTAATGATATTCCCTGGTGATCAAGCATCATCTCTTAGACTCTACGATTAAGATTCATATAGTCTATAAGAAAGTTGAGGTATAGGTTAGATGGTAATTTTCTGACATGTTGTTCCCTTACTGTCGTAGTTATGTGTTTGTTTGACGGTAAGGTTCCAGGAGCGATTACGTATGATTTAGCTGTTACCCTTTTCCTGTTGTGTTAGGGATATGAATCATCGGAGAGGAATAAGCAACAAATAGCAATTGAAAAGATATCCATACCTTCGAACATGAGTCTTGGGTGAGTACACTCTTGTTCTGTAGTAACTGAGGTGAAGCTTTTGTTCTTCTATTCTGTTATCGGATTGGTAATGAACTTTCTGCATAGCTAAAAGCTTCGGATTTTATTTTGGTCATCAGGCTTGTAAAGAACTACTTGCTTCATTATGGGTATGAAGAGACTTTTCATGCTTTAGACTTGGCTACTAACAGTACAGTTCCTCCTATTAATGGAACTCAAGAAGATGGTATTGAAGATACATCATATGCATTGCATGAGAGAAAAAATTTTAGACAGGTATTGAATTAGACAGTTATCTTAACCTTTTTTACTTCTTGTCCAAAATTAAAAGAAAACTTCATTACTAGTACATCTGTTTTGTTAGTATTGAACTGATCCATAATTCGGTTGGTAAAGCTTATAGGGAAGGGTGAGATTGATGCTGCTCTTGCGAAACTCCGAGATTGCTATCCCCAACTTGTACAGGTGGATTGCGGAACGAGTCATATTGTTTTATTCATATTGTTACATTGAAAATATGAACTCTTACCTCAATTGTATCATCTGCAGAACGATAAATCAGAAGTGTGCTTCCTCCTTCACTGTCAAAAGTTCATTGAATTAGTACGGGTATGCTCTTTAGTCTTCATTCCTTATATATTAAGTACACATTAGATCCACTGCGGTTAGACTCTCTTTCTTAGTAATTACTCTGGAATAATGTGACATACACATACTTTAGATTGGAGCACTCGAAGAAGCTGTGAAATATGGAAGAGTGGAATTAGCCAAATTCCTTGGTTTAGCTGCTTTCCAAGTCATTGTAGAGGTACTGATGCTTCTGCAACCTTTAAAACGTGATGGATTGGAAAATTTTCCGATCTTTACTGGTTTCAAAAGTCAAGAGATGAGATTATCTTGTTATCTATTATAGGACTGCTTTGCTCTGCTAGTGTACGAACGCCCCCAAGAATCGAATGTAGGGTATTTCCTAGAAGAGTCTCAAAGGGAAGTAGTGGCAGACGCAGTGAATGCTGCTATTTTATCTACAAATCCAAATGGCAAAAATCAATGGCATTTTCATCTAGAGACACTTCTCCGACAGCTAACAGCTTGCTGTCTGGAACTGCGGTCACTTAACGATGGTCAAGGAGAAGCGTTCTCGCTTCACCGGCTTCTTACGACCACCAATTGGAAGAGGACAAAAAAGACTGGTAAGCTTTAGCTGTTCATCTTTGGGAACAAACTTGGCTTTGATTGTTGACGGTGGTTGAATTCGAACCGTTTCTCCCGGTCAGATGAAACAGGTAAGTTAAGCAGTCATGAAACGGACAGGTTGAAGTTGAACCTGGCCTTTGATTTATTTTTTCTCTTAAGATTTGAAGAACAAATCAGAATTGTAAAATTTATTTATTTATTTATATTTAGTTTGACATTATTCACGAAGCTTTGATTGATTTAGTAGGCAAATCGAAGTGTTTATTACAAATCAGATTGAAATATAGTGGAACAACACAATGGTAGGAGTTTATGTTGCCAACAACCCCTAAGCTAAACGAAACAGAAGGGAAGGTTATTTTTAGATCATGTTGTGTAGTTGTTGTATTCATATGTAGCAAATACGCAATGTAGAGAAGGAGAAAATTCAACTTAAAATATAGAAGTCTTGATCAAAAGCAAGCAAAGTCGAAAATGGTCGAAACACACACTATTGAAAATAGCAACAGATCATCAAGATCATTCATAGATCCAAGGGTGAACACTGCTCTGCCAGTTGACAGGTCCATCAGGGAACCACAAAGCAATCTCCTTTCTCGCACTCTCGACAGCGTCACTCCCGTGGATCACGTTCCTGCCAATGTCAATAGCAAAGTCCCCACGGATAGTTCCAGGCTCAGAGTTTGCGGGGTTGGTAGCTCCGATAATCTTCCTTCCCGTCAACACAACATTCTTTCCTTCCCAGATCATAGCAACAACAGGGCCAGACACAATGTAATCAACAAGTCCACTGAAGAAAGGCTTTGAAGACAAGTCCTCGTAGTGCTTCTCAGCAAAAGATCGCTCTACACTGATCAACTTCAGACCTGTACACACACAAATCTACAATGATCAGAAACACAACAGACATAATCTATCAAAATATTGAGATCACTCTTATCTTCCAAATTACATAATACAAAACATCCAGAAACTAGACCTGTAATTCATTCTTAGGCAGAAGATCCTATAATCTAAAATCTATAACACAACACATAGAATCCTAGTCAAACTAGACAAGTTTTACTAAACTATCAATGTCCAAAATCTACACCAAACCATAACCTTCCTACAGTTATCATTACAATCTCAATTCAAGCAAAAAAAGTGACCTCAATTAGATCTAAAACCTCTAATCTTATAACCTAAAAACATTCAAATAAGTTTGGTCTCAAGAATCCTTACCCTTCAAAGTGAAACCCTTCTTCTCAAACCTGGAGATGACTTCACCGATCTGAAAAAGAAGACAAACATATACAAATCTTTGTCAAGTCTCGATTTTTAAGCAGAAACAATCCAAAGAACTGAAAAACAAAACCGAAGTCACATCAAGATTAAGAAGTATGTATTAAGAGGGTAAAGGGAAGCTTACGAGTCCTCTCTGGACGCCGTCAGGCTTGATCATGATGAAAGTTTGCTCCATTTTTTTTGCTTACTTGACTCGTAGGAGGCAAAAAGAGTTATATAGTCGGCACAAATTTGTAGCCCTAATTCTGTTGAAGAACATTCTAGGGCTAGAATATTCGCTGCATCTTTAGGTGTTATTGGGCCTTCACTATTATTATTTCAAGGCCCAATTAGATGAAATATTTGTTAGATGTGGGTTAGAAAGACACAAAGGTTTGATCACACCACTAATGATGCATTCTCTCATGTTGAAGATTTATACAACACACTTTCACTACAAAAATTAGAGTTTATAGTTTTAAATATTTTTATTTTTATTAATATATGTATCAAGTATTTAATTTTTCTTAAAAAAATCGACTATAATAAAAAACAACCAACCAAAATATAAGTTGGAAGTTTTAAAGTGTATTCAATCAAAAAACAAAGGTCACTCCTATCCTTCAGAGAGAGAAGGCGATTTCCGGTGTACCGGAATTATTACCGGAAAATCTAAAACGCTTCTCCTCTCTTCCCTATCTTAAATCTTTCAGAGAGGTGCAGCTTTCTTCCGGTTTTAATTCTGGACTTCTCCGGAATTGTGTATATAATCTCGTTTTTGTGCGAGCTAAATAATTTCCGGCTTCTGTCGGATTCTAGTTTACCGGCTCTGTCCGGGTTTTTTGTTTTCTCGCCCTAGCGAGATTGATCTCTTTCCTCTTTGCCCGTTGATGTCTCCGTCTTTCTTCAAATTTCTCTCCGATCCCTCCAATCTTGTCGAGGAGTAATTTCTTCATCAAATCCTTTTGCTCATGATGAAAGAGCAAAGATTAGACCACATCAAGTTGGGTGTGGCTAGTGGTGGAGCTTCCCCGGAGATGGTGTTGCTCGGGTAAATTTGAAGCTATTCTCTCAATCGATCCGGAGATTTCCCAACATCAGGCTAGGAATCGAGATCGGCAGAAGGTAGGAGGATTCTCATCGCTCTAGAGCTGAACGGTGGTGGCTAATCGGAATTCCAGCGATGTCCGGCGAAGTTACGGTGGTGCTCATCAGCCTGACGCGTGGCTTTGGGAAGAACACGTCTCCCACACGTGTCATCTTCTAGATCTTATGTGCTTTAATTAATATTTTATTAAAATAGGATTTAGTTGGGCTTGGGCTGTACCTCTAACTTTGTAATCCTCTGTATTCGTACTGGGCCTTCTGTAATCTGCCCGTTTGGGCTTTATCAATATTAGTAAATGGACGACAAAAAAAAAAAAAAAAAAAAGTGTATTCAATCATGTTTTAAACGATTTGAGTTTTTATGATTTTGATGATTTTAAGTGAATTTAGAGTAAACAAAAAAGAAGGACCGTTTTTTTAGGCTTTAGAATCGTTACGGGCGAGGCGACAGACATGGCGACACTAGGGTTTTAACATGACGTTGCGATTGGAGCGGCCAGAAGGTGTTTTGCGGCCAGATCTGGTGGTGATTGAGATTGAGTTTCGATTGGTTTGTGTGGGTGTCCGGTCTGAGCCTAAATGGCTCGTTTTTTATCGGATCTATTTGGTTATGGAAGACTCGGAGAGGTGCCCCAATGGTTTTCCGGTGATTCTTAGTGGTTCTCTGGTGTTGGTTTGGGTCTTCAATTGGTTGATATATGAGATTGGTACTCCTTTTGTTAGGTTTTTGTTTTCGGTCTATAGAGGTTTTTGTTCGAAATTGGCTGCAGGTTCTGGATCAAATCGAGAAGCTTTTCCCATCTGGTTCTATGGGGGTTTGAAAGGTGTGGATGGGTGGTCGATGGAGCAGTCAAAGTCTTGGAGATGGGCTATAGGGCAGAGGTTTCCACAAGGAAACGGTTTGTGGTTTTCAAATCTTCTCGTATTTGAGATGATTTATCATCCGTTCTTGATTATTGATCTCTTTCAGAGATCTTTGGTGAGCTACAAGGTTTTTTATAGTCACAATTTTGTGGGTCGGGAAAGAAATATTTCGGTTGAAATCTCCGATCAAAAGGAGAAAAATTGTTCACGGTTGGAGAAATTAATTTTAGGTGGTTTTTCTTCGGAGGATGAATATGGGTTAAACGTTGAGGACATATTAGAAGAGACACAAAAAGGAGATACGGATTACAAGGTTGGAGTGTATACACCAGATTCACGGCATGGTGGTTACCAAATCTGTTGGCCCGCCGGTGGGTATGGGTTATCATCAAGGAGAAAGAGTTCCTCCAAAACGTTTGTCGGATTGATGCGTAATTCAGGTTGGATGGGTGAATGGTGGATGAGTTTGTTAAAAATAAGTTCTTTACAGTTTTTCTTCAGATTCAATGATCTTTTCTTGGTAAATCAGAGGTTTTGTTGTAAGGTTTTTATTGTAGGCTATTATGTTAAATTCAATTCTCGGATCATATATGTCTGTGTTATTGAAGTAATGATAAAAGGAATGAATTGTTCTATCTCTGGTTCGTATGGTGTATTGGTGATGGAGATCATGGAAAAATATTATTGGTTATATGTTATCTCGGAACTTTGGTACTTGGTTTGTAAAAAAGGACTTGCTAGTTTTACGTTGAGGTCTATTGCAAATCAAGTGAATGAAGGTCAGAACCTGATATACCATGATATGGTGAAGGGCTTCACGGGTGGACGCAACCCACCTAATTTAAAGGTTGATAAATGAAAGTTTTAAGTTGGAATTGTCAAGGTCTCGGAAATAAGGCAACTATCGGATATCTTCGGGATTTGTGGAAGCAACATCGGCCGGATTTTTTGTTTCTTTCGGAAACAAAACAATCTTCGTTATTTATGGAAAAATTTGTTGGTCATTTTGGTTATAAAATTTTAAAAACGGTAGATCCTATCGGTTGTAGTGGCGGCTTAGCTCTTTATTATAATAATGATTACAATGTTTCAATTATTTATGAAAGTAATCGTTTAATTGATATTGAGGCTATTTATAAAGGAATAACAATCAATCTTACTTTTGTTTATGGAGATCCGGTACCAAAAAATAGAGACCAAGTTTGGGAATGGTTAACACGGATCGGGATATCTCGGGATACTCCTTGGTTTTTGATAGGAGATTTCAATGAATTAACCGGAAATCATGAAAAAGAGGTGGCAAATTGAGACATGCTTCTTCCTTTATCCCTTTTAATTTAATGATAAACGATTGTGGACTTTTGGATTTTCCATATCTCGGAGATTGGTTATCTTGGAGGGGATGGCGGGATAAAAAACCTATACGGTGTCGGTTAGATAGAGCGTTAGCAAATGAGGATTGGCATGAATTATTCTCCAATTCTTTCGTTGAATATTTACAAATGGTAGCTTCTGATCATTCTCCGGTTATAGCCACAATCGTAGATAAGATACCACGGAGTAAACGATCTTTTCGGTTTGATAAAAGATGGATTGGAAAAGAGGGGTTACTAGAGGCAATATCAAGTGGGTGGAATCTCAATTCCGGTGATGAGAAGGGACAATTTGTGGAAAAATTGACTAACTGTAGAAGGGCTATTTCTCAATGGCGGAAAGAATTATCTCCTTATGGACGGAAAAAAATAGAGGATCTGAAATCGGAACTCGATGAAGCTCAGAGAGATGATACGAGATCACGTGAAGAGATTACGGAATTAACATTGCGGTTGAAAGAGGCTTACAGAGATGAAGAACTATATTGGTATCAAAAAAGTAGGAGTCTTTGGATGAAACTAGGGGATAATAATTCGAAATACTTTCATGCTCTGACAAAACAGAGGCGTGCAAGGAATCGGATTACCGGTTTACATGATGAAAACGGGATATGGTCTGCGGAGGATAAAGATATTCAAAACATAGCGGTCTCTTATTTGAAAAATTTGTTTACTACATCTAATCCACATGCTTTTGAGGAGTCTCTAGCAGAGGTGAAAACATTGATAACGGATCAGATAAATGTTTTTTTGACGGCTCCCGCGACAGAATGTGAGGTCCGAACGGCTTTATTTATGATGCATCCAGAAAAGGCGCCAGGGCCCGATGGGATGACAGCCTTGTTTTTTCAGAAAGCCTGGATTACTATTAAAGCGGACTTGTTGATCCTCGTTAACTCTTTTTTACAAGATGGAGTTTTCGATAAGCGGTTAAACACGACTAATATATGTCTTATTCCAAAAACGGAGCGACCAACTCGGATGACGGAATTACGGCCCATCAGTCTCTGCAATGTTGGTTATAAAGTTATTTCAAAAATTCTTTGCCAAAGACTTAAGACGGTACTACCAAAACTTATTTCGGAAACCCAATCGGCTTTTGTAGCAGGGCGACTAATCTCGGATAATATTCTTATAGCTCAGGAGATGTTTCATGGTCTGCGAACTAACCAGTCCTGTAAAGAAAAATTTATGGCTATTAAAACGGATATGAGCAAGGCTTACGATCGGGTTGAATGGAAGTTTATCGAAGAATTATTGAGGAAGATGGGATTCTGCGAAAAGTGGATTTCGTGGATGATGTGGTGTATCACTACAGTCCAATATAGAGTTCTTCTTAATGGACAACCTCGAGGACTAATTATTCCGGAAAGGGGATTAAGACAAGGAGATCCTTTATCTCCTTACTTATTTATTCTCTGTACGGAGGTGCTTATTGCGAATATAAGGAAAGCGGAACAAGAAAAATTAATTACTGGTATTAGAGTATCCACAGCTAGCCCTTCGGTATCTCATCTCTTATTTGCTGATGATAGTTTGTTCTTTTGCAAAGCTAATAAAGAACAATGCAGAGTAATTTTGGGGATTCTAAAGCAATATGAAGCGGTTTCAGGACAACAAATTAATTTTTCAAAATCTTCGATTCAGTTTGGCCATAAGGTGGATGTTTCTATGAAGGAAGAAATAAAAGCGGTTCTGGGAATTCATAATCTTGGAGGTATGGGATCTTATCTCGGTTTACCTGAAAGTTTTGGTGGATCGAAGACAAAGATCTTCTTTTTTGTCAGAGACAGACTTCAGGCTAGAATAAATGGTTGGTCAGCCAAATTTTTATCAAAAGGTGGGAAAGAAGTTATGATTAAA